TGCGATCACAGATCCTTACACCTGGAGGATAAAAATAAGTACGTTATTATTACTGATATTTCTTATAATGATTGCAATATCATCATCAGCAGCAACTTTATACTTTTTTTTTTCAACAGAGGATATCACGCCACCAGTCTTAACATTTATCAATACTCCATCTCGTTCTGGAGGCGACTTCCAAATCACTTGGACAGCAAACGAAAATGTTACAGCTCAATGCACGGTGCAAACTCCTTCCCAGATCTTAGGTCAGCCGTGCAATTGGTCGTGGACTGGAAGCAATCTAGCCGAAGGCTTCTATAGCATTTATGTTCAGTTAACGGATTTGGCAGGAAACTCGGCGCCGCCTGCCAGACACTCATGGTTTGTAGGTATGTCGAGAATGGAGACTCGTGTTATTAAAAATAACGAAATGGAGATTAAAACTTGAATAGGATACTGAAATAATGTATGTCCACCAAACGGAATTGGAGGAAAACTCAAGGTTAGTAGATATGTTGAAACTTTTGTTAATTCTATTGAAATGGAGAAACAAAAAACCTGAATAAGATGCTGAAGTAATAGTTATGGCAGCCAAGTGATTTGATTATGGAAGGTCTGTTATTATTTTTTGAATGTCATAACTGTGTTCAAAACCAGTGAAGCAACCTCATGATTGAGAGATCTCTAAGAGAATGTGATACAGATTAATATTTCAAAGTAACTTATGCGACTCGCACAACAAGAAACAAAAGTAGAAATCTCAATCCGGAATTCAAGATCGATGCATGAATTGAAAATTCAATGCTTTCTTCTTATTCTTTGCTGTTTTTTCTTAATTTTATTTTTCAGACCGCACACCACCAACAGTTGTCATAACTTCAAAGCCTGCGTCTCTTAGCAATCAAAATCCATTTACTTTCGGCTTTAACTGTAAAGAAACCTGTACGTTTGAATGTTCTGCACGTCAACAAGGTATTAGTCTCGCTTATTCACAGTGCAACAACTACAGATACACGGCCAGCAATCTACAGAACGGACAGACCTATATTTTTTACGTACGAGGAACAGATGACGTCGGGAACCAGGGGAATCCGGCTAATTATACGTGGACAGTTGGTGAGTTAATCCTCTCAGAGTAAAAAAAAAAAACGTTTCTACGTTAGTTGGTGACAACGAAATTAGCGGGGTAGGAGGGGGGAAGATGAGGGGACTAGAGAGGATGTTGATGGAAAAGTAAGATGTAGTATAAAAATTATCTGAAAGCATTGTGACTTAAGAAAAACGTTTAAAGTCAAATTCCTCCTGCTACGCATTTACAAAATAATTAAAATTATCTTAATCTAATAACAGTCGTCTCTTTCGCAGCACAATTTACTGTATATCTTAAAACTGCATCACTGACATAGTTCGGTAGAGATCCTAGTGACAATCCATAATTTGATCCACTTGACGTTTTGGCCCCTCCGGGTTTCATCGTTTTTTCATTCCTTTCATCTCAACCTTCACAAATAGATTTACAACCACCAGTTATCTCAAACATGGCTTCTCAAACAGTGGATTGCAAATCAGATCTCAGTCCATCAGTCCTTGGCAAACCTTCAGTCAGCGACAACGAAGGATCGAACATCACATTAACATACCAAGATCTTCCTGGAAGTAGCTGCAGCTTTCAAAGAAAATGGACCGCAACAGATCAAGCAGGCAACAGTGCCTCGAAAATACAGGGAATCAATCTCATCAACCTCATGCCACCGACAGTAAGTTATCAAGGCAATGTCACCATTGCTTGCGGAAGCTTTGACGAACAACAGCAAGACATGCGCGATGCCATCAATGTCACTCATCCGTGCAATCGGCCGATCACGATAACGTACGTCGATTCTGTTCCCACAATTCTATGCGCCAGGACTTTCAAGAGAACATGGACTATTGCAGATGACTGTGGGAGGCAAGTATCTGTTATCCAACAGATTCGGATCTTAGCTCTTCAGTCGCCGGACTATCCTAAAAATGGACAAGTTAATGTGGCCCTGAGAGAGTCGCTTGAGTGGCCTCAGTATCCGGGATCTACTAGGTACAATGTCTACCTTTGGCGGTACGGCTCTACAAAGCCTGCATCACCAACTTCTCGGTATGTCGATAAATGAACAAACCATTTTATTTATTTATTTATTTTTTCAGTATCGTTCTTTTTAAAAAGAAACAAATTTTGAGCCTCTGAGTTTTTCAACGACCATAGCTCGACTAACTGAGATACAAGGGCTGAAAGTTTCGAAAGAAACTGAGACATAAATCATTTTCCAATTTCTGTAGCTCATGACCAATTTGATTGTCTTATTTCAGGACCTATTATCGAAGATATACTCCCTCTTACCCAGGCTACCCCGCCGACACTAGGATGCTGTGGAGAATTGAATATGTTCTGAGTTCAGGTGCACTGATTCCCAGTCCCATTTGGGGATTCCAAACCAGGGCTTTTCCGGATTTTAAAGTAGAGAAGGTCATAGCACCTCCAAACGCTTTTTCTGGTCTGAAGTTCGAAGTGTCGTGGATCGTCCGAAATATTGGTAAGGTGGGAAATGCTTTGACAACGTGGTATGATAGCGTGTACATTGGAAAAAGTACTGACTTTCGAAATGCAAGGTTGGTTTTGAATACTGGTTTTGTTGTTCTTAAATTAAATTGTCTAAAGAAACCAGAGTTATTATAACGACTAATAAAAGAGACAACTGTTGATATGAGTTTCAAACCCTTGACCTGCAATAAAACAAGAAAGTAGTATTACTTCACTGTTTTTCTTGGCAAATCATTTTTGTAATATCGCGTATGATCAACTTATACTTTCGTGATCTTGCCGGTAATCAATATCATTATCGTTACCATTACCACGCGGCCAATGCCATCGTTACCTTTATTTCATATATCTCCTATTCGTTATCGTCATCGTAGCAGTTATATTCTTTCGTTCTCAAGGTTACCCATCTCGCTATCTGAAACTAAGAACAACCTCCACATTTCTATTTCAGGCTTGCAACAACTGTCCGACGTAGAGAGATTCTGTTTCAAAATGATGGCTATACTGCAAAGGGAACAGTTCAACTACAAGTTGACGAGTTCGGAGTGTTTTATGTTTTTGTTGAAACGGATAGGTACAACAGAGTAAGTACTAACAATATTTACTTATTTAACGATATGCAAAATATTATCTTAAATCGTTCCTTCCTTCTATAAAAGACGCAAATTGGTATTGAAATGAATATTAATGGATCATAAATCAAATTTCCTTTTGTTACAGATAAGCGATATCAATCGTGCAAACGATGTATTGTTGGGTAACAGCCCGGTACACGTGTCACTCACTCCCCCTCCTAACCTGAAAATTGATAAAATTGTGCTCCCAAGTCCAGCGCTCTCAGGTAAGAAACCCTCTCACAATAGTTGATAACTTCTGAGTAAATTATCAATTACTGTTAATTTGACCTGTTGTTCAATCAATCAATCAATCAATCAATCAATCAATATCAATCAATACTTTATTTACCCACGTAGCGTCAAGGAGTTCATAGAGCTCGTTCAAAATACGTACGTGCCTCTAAGATTAAGATTCTAAAAAACCTAATACATACTGTCAAAACCTAATTGATTAGAAATTAAAATAACTAACAATAAATATTAAAATTTAAGTTTGTACAGTAAAATTCAAAGTCACTTAAATACAGGTATAAAATGGTGAAGCAATAGCTTGAATAATTTAAAATTAAGATTAAAAATTAAGTTTGTACAATGAAATTGAGAGTCACTTAAATTCAAGTATAAAATTGAGAAGCAGCTAAAGTTTCAATGTTCTCAATAGCTTCTTAAAAAGGTTGATATCATTGGCCAGTTTTACACTTGTAGGTAATCCATTCCACAGCTGCGCACACATATAAGTGTGTTATACTCTAAATGTAAGCTACTGTCACGTATATGAGCGGCCTACAAAAGAAGTAATCAAAGCTTAGATAATTCTTTGCTTTCCTAAAGGTAAAGCCATCAACATAACGTGGACCGTGAAAAACTTTGGAATGGGTGTAACTGCCCATGATGCATGGTATGATAGAGTTTACCTGTCTAAGGATGACAAACGAGGTTAGTGTCTTCCTTCAAACTTATTTACATGTTCTCCTTTTTAGAGTGCCCTTAACAAGAGAGAGAATATAAAGTTTCTGTATTATTCAGCTCATGCTTTGCAATGATTTTAAACTCTTGAAAAAGAAAATTTCAAAACTGTAGAATCAAAATAACTCTAGAATTCCTTTTTTTTTTCCTGTACAGACTGGTCTGACTGGATCCTTGGCACATTTTACCATCATGGTACACTGTCTGTTGGTGCAAGCTACAAGCGAAAACTACCTATTACTCTCCCCAATGCAATTTATGGCAATTTTTCGATTTTGATAGTAACAGACCTTTACAATGCTGTATTTGAGCACAACAACGAGGGTGACAATCTTAAAGCGCAGGTAATTAACCGACCAAATTGAGTGATTAAGGAACGTTCCCTCTTTTTCTCTGCTGTCTTTCCTGTGTGCTACACAGGATATGTGAAATATATCGTATTATTAAAAAATGGATCATTGGATAATACAATTCAAGACTTTTTATTGGCTTAGCCATTATGGTATATGAGCCAATATACCATAATCTACACTGAATATGGTGAGCCTACGCGTCAGCTTAAAATTAAAAGGGAGCTAAAAAATTTAATAAAACTTAGTAATTTAATTTAACGTTTTTAATAAAACAATTATTCCACTCGCGCTTGTTGGATATGAGATGATTATAGCCAACTCGGCGCTATGCGCCTCGTTGGCTATCTATCATCTCATATCCAACGCGCGCACGTGGAATAATTGTTAAATAGTCTCTGGAACTAGCGCCCTAATAGTATTTTGGAGGAATAGGTTCGAGTCCAATCGAAGCTAGTATTTTTTTAATTCTAAATTTTGGATATAGAAAGGTTAAATTCTCAAATAAGGTTATCTGGCAAATCATTTAAAGGTTATTTCTTGCTTTATTTTTGCAGGCGATGCGAATACACTTAAGCCCTCCCCCAGATCTGGTTGTAACTTCTATCACGACGCTGGAAAATTACTACACAGGAGATGTGATGGAGGTTCGTTTTAACGTTTCGAACAAAGGCCTCGGTGAACCCTTTAACTATTGGTGGAGAGATCGCATGGTGAGTAGGAAGCTATTGGTGGAATAATGAGGAGTTCCTCTGCTTCATCGAATTCCTTACAGCCTCGCGTAAGCGATTGGTTCATGTTCATTGCTTATTGATAACTAAAGGAAAGCCTCATGTTACTTTAGTCAAACCTTAGATGCAATGAAATAAATTTTAACGTCCCAAACTAAATCTTCCAAAAAAAAATTACAATTAAAATTATATTCAAAACCGGCGCTCTGAGGAAGTCCAATAACCAGGCGTGTCGGGGACCTTTTTGTTGTCAGAGCGAGGATTTCCTGTTCCCGAATCTAAAAGCTTTCGTTGGGTCTCGCGCACTAGGAGCAGTGATACTCAGGATACTCAGATTTATCGCTTACAAAGGTTCGAAGGAAAGATCAATGATAAATCACACAGGTTCCCTTCGGGTTTTTTTTTTTTTTTCGTGTGTTTGTTGACGTAGATAAAATATTTTGAAAAACATGTTTTGCTTCATTTTCAGACCATCACAAATACTGCATCATTAAGATATAAAGTTCTTGGAGTCACCCGATTTTCAGGATTGTTTCCGCCCTCCTCGTGGTACGTTAGAACTGTGGATTATTTCATTCCTTCTAGTTGGTCAACCGGACAATACAACATCACAGTTTACACGGATTATGATGACGACGTTTTTGAATTCATCTTTAACCATAACAACGAGAAAACCGTACACGTGAATGTCACACAAAGGTTGCCCGACCTGACCGTCACGCATGTCAACGTTTCTTTAACCGCTGACGACGTCCAAGCCTAGTTGAGTGTCTCTTTTTCGGTTGAAAACGCTGGACAAGGAGTAACAACCGAAGCACCTTGGTTCGACTCACTTTACATCTCATCGCAGGCTCAATATTCACAAAGTAATGCAATATGGTTGGGAGATTTCCCTCACAGAGTCAATCTGGGTTCAGGCAAACGATACAGCATCAATACAGGACCCATACGCATAAATAGGGATATTTTTGGACAGCGGTATATTTTCGTTAAAACTAACGCGTATGGAGCAGTCGCAGAAAATAACGTAAAGAGCAATATCAGATCCTCTGGCAATATAACATTTCCACAGGTTCTGCCGGATTTTGTCGTAGTAAACTTTACTTTGTTGTCCCCTAAGGAAGCCCTTTTGAGTGAATCCAAAGTATCATTAATGTGGACTGTTGAAAACAATGGCACAGGAAGTACGCTGGCGAACACCTGGCAAGACGCGGTTTACCTGTCAAATTCTCCAACTGTACAAAATAACTCGACAAAACTTGCTGACTCCTTCCTCAGACAAGCTTTAAGTCCCGGGCAGAGTTACACCGAGGTTTCATTTATGAAGTTACCATCTGATACATCTGGAACTTATTATTTCGTTTTGAAAGTCAACGAGGGCGGCTCTGTGGTTGGAAAAGGTGTGCTGGTGAACAACTTAGCTTGGATTCGTGCTGAAATTTTACCAAAACCACTGCCAGACTTAGCCATTGTAGATGTATCTTTTGTTTTTGAAGAAAAACGTCGTTTTTTGACGGTTTTGTGGTCAGTGGCAAACTTTGGCAGCTGGATGCGCGAGCCTTTATCTTGGGTGGACAGCGTAGTATTCTCGTCCTCACAAGGCGTCATCGATGGCAAAGATGCCCGTGTCATGGCATCTGAAACCGTTACTGCTAAACTAGATGAACAGCAAGAGTACCAGCTTTCCGCTACTTTACAGATTGGCGAAAACGTAATCGGAAAGTTTTACGTGCATGTAGTTACAAACTCCAACAAAACCTTCTCTGAAGTCTCTGGAACTTCAAATAATATCGGTGTTTCAAGGGAAGTCCTCAACGTTCCACCTCCCCCGGCACCTAGGTTAATCCTGACTATTATTTCAAGTTTACCGTCCCAGATCACCCTTGGAGTTCCTTTCTCCATCAAGTTTCGGGTACAGAACGAGGGACTTGTTGCAACGAAGAAAACATCATGGACAGATGCGATTTACGCTTATGGAAAAAAGGATGCAAATCGGACAGAGGTCATCGAGGGAGGAACGAAATTAAAGCACATTCCCCACATAGGAGCCTTGGAAGCTAATTCGTTTTATGAAGAAAGTATCAACGTTTCAATTCCACATGGATTTCGTTCTTCTGCTTTCATTCATGGCTTTGCAGACATCCACAGCCCTTTTACACCGTGGCCAGAGATTGTTGAACCCATCAATAACACGCAGCTTAATGTCACGCATCCTAATGTCACACAGCCTAATGTCACGCTACCAACTGTGACACCAACTGTTCTGACGCCTATAGTTATTAAAGTAGGACTGTTACCAGATCTGCAAGGCTCACTGGGAAACTCAAAAGTGCAAACGCGTGGTGGCCAGCCACTGAATGTCACTTTCAACGTCACAAACTCCGGGGAATCACCTGTACGTGGTGCGTGGTACAATGCGCTGTATCTCAGCCAGGACGTGCTGATCGACCCATTTGACCGCAAACTTGCCACTGTAAGAGCAACTAATCTCGCCGTGAACGACACTGTGTCCTTGAGCGCTGAGGTCTTCATTCCCTTTGACACTCTTGACTCGGACTACTACCTGTTACTGTCAGTGGACAGCAAAAGCGCCATATGGGAGAGTGATGAACTGAATAACGACGCTTACCATCTGATAAAGATAAACAAGACATTTAGCAGTGACTTGGCGGTAGTGTCTGTTTCCTCATCCAGTGGAGAATTCTCCTATGGCCAAGGTAAGAATCATTTAAAACATTAAAACCCTGGGGCTTTTAGCTTTAATATTTTTATTCTGTGCGCGAGCTTAACGTACGACGTATTAGTTGCATACTCAATGAGTGACAGTCAATAAAATCACTGCAAAACTGATCAATCACTGTACATGATCAGACTCACAAAATCGACCAACAACAACTCTTTACTCAATTCTGATAATAACATCTTCTCGGGTTGTCGAAACGACAATCGCTACTACCGATAAAATACTATCTCAGGACTATTCTCGCCTGGACGATCAGGCTAGACTATCAAGGGTCACTCTTGCGTTTTAACCATTTACTGGATTATATCCTGTGATAAACCTGAGTCAGCCAGGTTGGTAATCCGTCCCAGCCATGTTTCGATTCATTCATCTATTTTTCTTTCACCTCCCCCCTCCTCCCCAAAGTTCTGATCAGAATAATTTACTTTATCAACCAAGGAACAAATCGCCACCGTTTCTTTCAGATGTCACAGTAAACTGGAGAATAAGAAACAATGGCAGCCAACGCACAGAAGGATATAAATGTGATACCGTTTACTTATCAGAAGACGATAAATGGCAGATACAAGACGTTAGGTTAGGCCGGCCAATCTGTTCATACGTCATCCTGGAACCCTCCAATGGAGGTTCAAACCGAGACACGTCATACTCTTCAACGAGTGAGCTGCCGCTGACAGCCGTGGGCGCATATCGCAGCCTCGTGAAAACCCGTGGTAACATTATAGATCAGAACCTGCAAAATAACATAGCTGTTGGGCCAAAACATATTAACGTTACATTTCCAAATCTTCCTCTCGACGGCTGCGTAGATGTCACCTTAAAGCCAGACGAACAATCTTCTTTCATTATAGACAATGTCCCGGATGGAAAGACTCTCATTGTTTCCATAAATAGTAGTAATGATGATGCGTTCCATGACCTTTACGTCAGACACTCTAAACCGGCAACCGCTTACCAATATGACGGTGGATCAAGGCTTGCCCTGTCCGCCGACCAAGAGGTGGTCATTTCCGAAACAGTCTTTGGAAAATACTACGTTCTAATGACCCGCCGACAAGATATGTCCATCTCTGCGCCGATTACCCAACCATCGCGATTGTGCTCGCACATAGCAAAGTTTGAAATCGCTCGGGTATTCCCTAGTCAAGTGGCTCCGCTGGGAAACGCCACGTTGCGCTTAGAAGGGGCCCTGTTTGGACAACATCTGGAAGCTTTTCTCGTGAGTGCATCTTCGGAAGATAACTTTGTCGAAGCAGTAAAGGTGTATCGAATGAGTTCAATTGAAGTGTATGCTACCTTCACCACAAGAAACCTAACCATTGGTACCACATTTCATGTGAAACTTGTCAACACTGAGTCAAAAGAAATAGCCACATTGCCCGGTTCTTTGGTGATAACAAGTGGTGAGGCTGGACGATTAGAAACGTATGTAGACTTTCCAGAAGCTGTGCTTGTGGGTTCTCCAGGCGTGATAACAGTCACCTATGAAAATGTTGGAGACACTGATATAGTTAGCTCAGTATTGGCTGTTCGTGTTGTCGGTGGCCTAGCTCAACTTCGCCCTGTCCAAAAAGCTGCATCATCGGGCCAATTCTCTTCCACTGTGGTCTTTTTAGCTCAACCTCTTCAAGGCCCAGGCGGCATTTTGCCTCCAAAGGCTTATGGGGAGATGGTATTTGACTTCGAGTCTCTCGCAGGCGGAGTGACACAAAGCAGATTTAGTCTTCAAATGTTGGACGAAAATGATAGAGCTCACCCTTATCTGAACAGCAGTGAAGATCTGAAACCAGAGTTTCTCAGCAGTTTACTGTGGGCTCCAGTTTGGAATAACTTGCTTATTTCCGTTGGGAAGACAGCCGCCACATTCCAACAAAGGATGTCAGCGGTCAGTACCTTGCTCAGCAAGTCTGGAAGAAGAGTCAACTTGGTGAATGATCTTATCCAGTTTCAACTTGATATTGCAAACGGAAAACTGACTGGTGAGAGATCATTGTTTTCTTAAGGAAAAGTAGTTCAGAGAAAAACTCTGGATAAACATTTAGTCGTAGGTCCTTTCTAAAAGCTTGAACTTTCTATTGAGCTAACCGCCTCCCGGTTAGCTCAATGGATAGAGCGCTGGACTGATGTGCGGGAGGTCGAGGGTTCGAGCCCCGGCCGGACCAACACTTAAGGTCTTAAAATAATTGAGAAGAATATGCTGCCTTTCTATAACATCAAGAAATGGTTTAGATATTCTAGTCTTCTCGGATAGGGACGAATAAATGGAGGTCCCGTCTCCTGCAGGGTTAGGGGTAGGAGACGTTAATTTCCCTCGCACGAGATTACTGTGTGATGGATGTCCTCCCCTGGGGTGGGATGGGTGGGTTGTTGTCTTGCGTTTCATACATGAGCCTCTGGCTTGGGCAATATGGGTAACCATGCCCCACGTAAAGACATTAAACTTTGATTACTTTTACTATTTCTAACTTCCTTTTAATCATTCTCAGCCAATCTTTCCAATGTCCAGTGCTGTACGTTTGAGTATCTTAACTGTGTATTCAAAATTTTTCATAACTATTATCTGTATTTTTTAAGGAGATCCTTTGTTATCTGAGGATGACATAACAGGTCAGTCCGCTAAAGATTTGGCCCTGCCTTTGCTGCTACAAAGAATCTACAGCCCGCTGATATCAAAACGAAGACAAAAGGGTGTTTTTGGTAATGGTTGGATTGCACCTTGGTGGTAAGAAAAAAGATAGTTTCTTTAAATGAATATTGTAAGGATATCAATAAGAATGATGGTAGTATTTGTTACACAAAGTGATGGACGCAAAGTCAATATAAAACCGGCATGTTGTATTCTGCTATCGTCCACATAATCAGAAGATCCCGGAACTAGTTATCAGCACTACAGTTATAAAAACAATAAGAAAATAGTAAAAAATCTTCTAATGACCTTTAATAGGAAGCAGCCTCTTAGCGAAATTGATATTAAAGAGGGTCTTTTAGCAGATCATATGAAAACTGGAAAATGCACGAGCTGAAACCATGATTAGGTAACCAGAGCTTATTTGTCGCTGTTTAATAATGAATTATCGCGATTGGCCCTACTCGTCCTATTGTGGTAAACTATTATTGAATCCCGCTTTATCTCAATTAGGGAGGCTGAAATCACACAAATTACACCAGAGACCATTAAAATTGTACAATTACGTGAAGAGCTGGTGTTTAAAGCTGACTCATCAGCTGGGCTGTACAAGTCATTTGATGGAAAGGAAGTTTCTGTTAACGACACAGGTTAGGGTCGTTTGCTCTTTGGATTTGTATGATCGTTACGTAACTTTTTGCAATTATGCCACCACAAAACACTAGGACTCAAAAAATCAATTTTTCCCTTAAATTACATATCGATAAATATTCAGTGATCAAGATTCACAGCGTTGAGAAAAAGAATGAGGACGAGAGCCGAAGGGGTCTTCAACTTGTGTGAGGTCATGAATATGCAATCTTGTTTGCCATGGCTCGTTAAGATGATTTACTTATTGGCCTTAATATCTTTGCGCTGCCGCGAGCAAAACAGCCATTCCTTTGGATATTTCTATACCATTCACGCCTTCTATCTAACCTATTATTCCCCTTTTCTACTTAGATGTTCTTTTCACCGACTCCAGCACCACTACCGTGTATATTTTTGATTCCGTCATGAAGAACCTGAAAGAGCTCCAGAGAGGAAATGAGACGATCACCGTCGAATATTCACAAAACAGATCATCGACTTTCACTCATTCGTCGGGAGGAAAAATCTCTGTGAAATACAACGACAAAGGACTTGTACGAGAGGCGCAATTTGAAGATGGATCGGGTAAAAAACAGAGATGGTAAGTATGTTTCTCCTTCCCTTGTCAAACTTTCGAGAATGTAAATTACCACGGGCGCAATGTGGCCGAGTGATTCTGGCCCAGCCCTCTCACCCTGCCACTCATTGGATTTGTTCTCGGTTGCCCCGAATTCAACTCTTTAGCTGCACTTTGTATATAGCCACCTGCTCTACCTCTGACCAGTTGGGATTTTTAAACATTAAGTTCATTAACATATTTTGCGTTCAATTTGTTTGTATTTGACCTGGAAACCCCATTGGGGGAATGGTCAGGTAAGGATAGCGTCAGACTTACATTTATACACTATGCTCTGAGACACTACGATATTGAACGTCTTAAATTATTTTACCCGGAGTTTCTACACATACAGTTGGGACACTGGGTCTCTTTTGTCAGTCACTGTTGGTGAACAAATCACTCGTTACACCTACAACATTCACGGCGATCTTACAAGTATTATTTACCCTACCTCGTCCACTGTCAAGTACTCATGGAACCAGTATGGACTCCTGAGTAACGTCACAGGTTTTAACAAGGAAAACAAGTTCATCTACGGAACACATTTCTCGTACGACTGGAATGGAAAGGTGACCGTGACCAGACTTCCACAAGGAGACTCGGCTGAGCTTTTCTTTAACGAGAAAGGAAAGGTGATGGACATAAAGGGTGCTGGTCTTGGCGATGTACGTTTTGAAAGTTTTAAAAATGATGACGAGGTTGTTAAAACTGTGAAACAAGGAGACCAGGTATTGGATTTATTTAACATTCGTGATAATTTGAGGGGCTGAAAATGTTTAAAGTACAAGTAATAGTGCTCAGAGAAAAACTAGCCACTATTGATTGCGGTTGAACAAGGGAGAAAAAGATGACGTTTTGACCAACGACCCTTTGGTCTCGGAGGATAGGTGATCACCTCAAAAAATGAGAGAAATTTCCACTTCTTTATCATACGCCGGGCCCTAATTTGACATTAGCCTCGCGTAAACGCCCTATTCACTGGGGAGGGCATCCCCGTGTAGTCCATGATCGAAAGTACCATCCATTGGGATTTACTACCTTTCATCCAAGGCGATAACACCACAATGAAACCAAAATTTTAGAGTCGTTAGTCTCAAGGATATGCTGTCAATTTTTCAGATTGTGTTGACAAGGAAGTACAACGTAAAGACACATATAATGACAGTTATTGACGCAAACGGCCACGATACAGAATTCCTCTTACAGAAAAATGGGGAAGTCTTGAACACGACGGATCCAGGAGGCTTCGTTTATCAGAATATCTACGATGGCAAGGCTCAAATGATCAAATTCATATACCCAGATGGTAGAAATGAACTAACAGACTACGACGACAAAGGGCGACTGGTGAAGTTTACTGGTAGAGCTGGAAAGGAAGTCAAGTTCGGATACGATGAAAATAACCGACTTGTAAGTTTGAAGTTCTTTGCTAAACAATGATAAACAGCGTTTTCTCTCTTAGCCACTTGACTATTTCTAGAGCCTGGTTGTAAATTCAGCAATATTCAGTTTATGACGAAAATATCCAGTAAACTCGTTAGATGAAAGAAATCACTTGATAAACACGAATCGGACTGTTGTGGCATTTGCTCAAGTAAACACGTAAAATCAGTACTTGTGGCTATCACATATGAAGTATCAAATAGGTACTTCAATGGTGATCTCATCGTATCATCCCGACTTGATTTAGAATGCTTGTAGTTAGCTTTCTTTTTTTTTTTTTTTGAGAGGTCATATGTGATGGTAAGAGTAGTAATTTTTCTCCCTGCCAAGAACTGGGCTCGTTTAAAAAGTCATTGTGTAAGGGTATGCCTGGAGGAATATGTTGATTTTTCTGTTGATCCCTTCTCTCTGTTTATCCCTCTATCTATGAATGCAGGTAAAAAAAGATGTCGATGATCTCAGCTCTTCGTATTTCTTACATGATAGCGACGGTAATATTGTCCAAGCAATGAATGGCATCGGTACGATCGATGTTGCTTATGACGGTGAAAACAGACCAACTAGTGTCACGTATCCAAACCGTCAAAGCATCACTTACAAGTACAATGAATTCCAACGTCGCGTGGGGCTAAAAGTGTCCGGGTTAAACATAGTGTACAAGTATGACCAGCTTAACCGGTTATCGGAAGTGGTTCGCGTAGACTCAAGGGGCACGGCCGACGTTCTGCTGAGACTGGAATACAACTCACAAGGGATGTTATCTAAACGAGTCCTTGGAAACGGAGGTTATTCTGAGTACGAGTTAGATCCAGTTAATTCAAAGCTGTCTCGTTTAGTAAATTATTTCCCAAATGGCAGCATCTCCTCTTGCTTTGAGTACAATTACGACAAAAAAGGACGAAGAATTCAGGAAAATACAACATCTGGTATCTGGCGGTACAAATACGACGCAGCATCGCAGCTAATAGAGGCAAAATATCCACACGGTAAAATTGTTCGATACACCTACGATAAACGAAAAAATCTAGAGCAGGTTTCAGAAGAGCCTGGTAACAAGACTTTATATTCTGTCAATGAAATCAACCAGTACACTTCAGTAGGAAATTATGAGATCAAATATGACATGGATGGAAATGTGGCGGAAAAGACAAATAGAGATCTACGGAATGACAGTGTCAAATTCAAGTTTAGTACTGAAAATATGTTACTGCAAGCTGAAACTCCGAACAAAAGGTATGAAAATTGACCAAAAAAGGAGCCAAATTTTTACTTTCGTTGATTGTAAACGTTATTCAAGCGCGAACCTCAGAAGGGTGGAACCTCCTTAGGTGTATGCTCCCCCCCTCTGTTTGTTAGGGAAAGGTGTGATAATCTATAGTAATTCAAACAACAACCTGGAATGCTAAGTGCCAGTAAGATGCGACTGTAGGACCCACCCATCCACTCCTCCCTAATGATCTCTTTTCTCTAAAAGGGGATGAATAGAAAATAAAAGAATTCAGAGAGAGAGAATTATCGTGATATCATCGGTGCTACTCCTTGACATTATTTTGTTGGAGTTTTCCAGAATTGTTTATCACAATACTTTACTTCTGGCCAGTAAATAGGCAGCTACTGAAGTTTGTTCCCAGCCGTATGCAAAAAACCATTCCCAGAAATTTGACTCAATGTTGTTGTTACTGCAGGTGCAAGTATGCGTATGACAGCTTTGGAAACTTGTACAAGAAAACATGCGGCCAAAATGAAGTGCAATATATAATTGATCCTTTTGGGAATCCTGGAGCTGATATTGTTGGCCAGGTAAAAGATTTCATAAAATTGCGCTGATCACAACATCCAGCTAGATATTTAAAGTTAACAATCGGCTTATGGTACGCGTATAAAGAAAATTACGTCGCGAAATTAGAGCCACTGAGAGCGCATCGTCACATAGAATTGACTTGAATTGGAAAACATCTTCAAATAAACTTTTGATAGGGCAGAAAACACTGACGAATTTTTAATCAACCAAAAAGAAGCAACGATGGTTGAGGATTAAGAAGATTAACATGGGTTTTAATGACAGACGAGAAAAATTAGGTTAAAGTTTTCAAGGACACTTGAAATTTTTCGGGATCAAATGCCGGTTTATTCTGTTCTGGCCGACTCAATTGGGGATCAGGACATTAAAACAAATTACTTGATTGGCTGGTTTTTCTTGTCACATTACCACTTCCGTTTTTTTCTTTTTAGGTGTGAATGTATTTCTGAGTTTCACGGTAAATGGTAACTTTTTTTTGGCAGATTACCGGTGAAAATGTGACATATTTTATTCACTGCCAAGATCTTGGATTAGTTGCTTTGATGGACACGGATGGAAATCTATATTATTATGAGTTTGACGCGCAGGGGTAAGTTTTATCAAGGTGTAAAAGGTTCATTGTTATTTGAAAATTTCCTTCAGTTGTAGGCGTAGAACTGAATCTGCTTCTGTACTGCCTGCTACCCTGCTCTCTGGCAATGAAAAAAGCCAGCCAAGTATGTTACTGACAATGGGAAACATAACGCTATGTATTTCTTTTATATTGCGACACATCTACTCCCTTTTGCAGGTCTGTCGTAGGAGTACTGGGTCCCAGAGGTGATCTAGTTAATCGGTACAGTTATGACCCGTTTGGTAGGATATTAGAAGTCTATGAAGAGTTGCCCCAGGACTTCACGTTCGTTGGTCAATGGGGAGTGACCGCTGATCGTGAACTAAGAGATATATACTGGATGCGGTTCAGGCACTATGATGCACAGCTTGGAAGATTTCTTAGCTTCGACCCACTTGGTATGGATTTCTCCAGTAAAACTATTCGTGTTTATCAACGTGAAACATTTTAGCTGAATGATCAAAGCAGAAACTTGAACGAAGCCTTTCAAACTACTCTGGTAGAGATGTTAGAGAACCAGACTTGAAGGTCTTCAATATCATTAAAAGGCTAAGAATTCTGAAAAAAAAATCCATTTGATTACACGGTGTCTGTTTTTTTATTTCAGGTTTTTCAGGAAAAAGTATCAATCTATACTCGTAGGCAGCCAACAATCCTATCATGCTGAAAGATCCTCGAGGAAAAGTTATTCCCTTAGCCGTTCTAGCCGCTGGAGCCCCGGGAGCAATTATTGGTGCATCGACAAATGTTGCTTCTTATTATGCCACTCAGAAGTTACTTGGTCAGAAGGTAACCACTGGAGGTACGTAAACAAATGCATTAAAAAATCTCCCGTATTTTGATCGGAATACCACGATTTATTGTACCGCAATGTAGTCTTGTGGTATATCCGAGCGTTCTGATTGGTTCTTATTTGGTCAGAATATTGCCTTGCGGACCGTTTCCGCAGAAATAAATGGTCCTAAGCTGTGTACTGTTGTGCGTGAAAGCTGGAAAAATCAAAATAAATATTTTTTTCCAGAGAGTTATATATCAATGAACTACTTACTAACCTGGCTTCCTGAAGCCCCACTAAGGTTTACTGGGGTATATTGGCCCTCTATTGTTTTTGTATGGCCCTCGCTGCGCTCGGTCTGTACTGCCACGACCGTGGGCCAATATTCCCAAGAGCGGCTCTCGCTCTCTGTTTCCAAACATACCATTCGCAGCAGGAAAGTTAACCCGACAATGAAAACAAAAAACGACTCGAGGACGAAGTCAGAGCCCCAGTATCGTGAATAGCTTTAACATATCATCGCGAAAGACTTTGTGAAAATCTGTTTGAAAATGTTCATGATTTGACAAGCGTGTAATTGAGCAATTTTCAATTAAATGTCGAAAGCAAATCGGGATTGCTTTGCTTCTGCTGTACTTCGCTCTGGGTTCGGTCCCGAAAATTCCCGCCCCTCTCTCAACCAATCAGATGCAAAAGTAAAACTAATCACGACTCGGTCGCCCGCGATTTCCCGCGTTTTAGGCAGTTTTGTCGGTTTTTCTTCTTATTTCTAATTGGCTCTTGAATTTAATTTCCTTTCTTCTGATTGGTTGTTGTGATTACTTTGGTTTTGGTTTACTGGCAATCGAAGAGCGCTCTAATGACCAGACTATTGTCAATAACGCTGAATGACTGAATTGCACTACAGTCAGTATTGTTTGCCATCTTCAGGAGTCGTGTCAAGCGCCATAGGAGGGTTCGTCTCTGGATACTTTAAAAGACAACGTAAGTGCTATACTTTAAAGAGAACGTAAGTATAAAAAGGCGATACTTAAAAAGAGAACGTTAAGTATAGATTGTAGCTTACTCCATCATTTTATTCTCTGTATAGGTGGTATTTGACCCATGGATGGGATGCTTCATTTGAATGACTGCTTAGCAATAAGCCCCTGTTAATGATGACGATGACAATAATAATAATTTCTATATGTATTTATCTTTATGCAGAAATCGTAGCTGGGTTTGTAATTAGCTTTGGAAGCTCAGTACTACAGCAAGGAATTGATAATGGTATTTCGAATATAAACTTGCGACAGGCGTTAGAAAGTGGTGTAACTAGTGTGATCTCGTCGCCCATAACACCTCTGAAGAGACCAAAATGGAGAACAGGTAGATGTACTAATGATTTTACTGTCCACCCAGTAACTGCTTTAAGGAAAACTGTTTCGAAACTTTCCACGAGAGGTTTAATGAGTTTTGATCATGCAGATCAGGAGTGCTTTTTATTTTTAGTTTATGCTTGATAATGTTGTATCGAAGACTCGTCCATCAACTAAATGCAAGAGCCCAAGAAAAGTAATTGTTATTTAGTGTACGCTGTTTTGATAGACGAAGGCATGATTTTCTCCCCATATACTCAAAGACAGCGCGAGCCGACTATTGAAAAGTAGTAAAATAGTCAGAGGAATTCTCGTATGCCGCTGGCTTAAAACTTTGCCCCTTTCGAACGGATCTTTCCCGTTTCGTACACTGCAAGAAATTCTTCGGGGAGTTTCCCTTCTTTGTTCAGTCATTGAAGCGCTTATCATGTTGATATGAGTGTTGAGGCATCCCATGCTCTTACACTCGACAGCAAATCATCCATGAGATTATTCCTTCCACATGTTAATGCTGCGTTTCTTTTGAAGGGTATTCACCAGTGGACAACTTCGTAGACGATATCTACGATAAGACTGTTAAAAATATTTTTGTTCCACCGCTGGGAAAAGACCTCGTCAATAAGATAATCGACTGGGTTCGGTCCTGGGATCCGGTGAGATGATTCATTAACAAAAGTTTTTTTTTTGTCCCAATATTAAATACATAAGTTTCCTTTGTTGTCGCAATATGTATGTTGCTATACAGTAGATCGTCTGGGTCACCATCAATAACCTTACAACAATGCGTATCTTAGTTGTTGTCCTCTAAGACTTTCGCCGATACTGTTCATGCAAAGACTTATTTAGGCAACGTTCTGTTTGAATGACTGGGTTTATGATCAAGATTATTTTGATTTTACGAGATTGCGCTCCAGAAAAAATGATGCGTAGTCATCGTATGCAGTTGTGGTGTATACTGTATATACAATCGGTTTCTTTCCTTTTGTCAGCTTTTTCAGTAGCTTAACTCAAAATTGATTTTCAAGTCTTCACTCTTTCTGGGTGTTTCCTTATGAGAGAAGATTGATTTTTTTTTTATATGTCCTTGATGTGTTACAGAATGACATGATTGGTCCCCCTGGATATGGAGACGCACGCTTTATTTCTTTGAAGACTCCTCTGAACTAGAAGATCAGGTTTGAGAATGATCCAAATGCAACCGCACCTGCGCAGAACGTGATTATCCTGCACACAATGGATCAAGACCTGGACATTCGCACATTTAGAATCACAGGATTTGGCTTCGGCAACTTTACTAAGAAGCTAAGCAAGTCGGTAGCCTTCATTCAGGTAAGGAAAACTAGCGGTGTGTGTTGACTCTGGTAAATAATTTATATTAGCTTATCCAGACAAGCTGTTTATGATTATCTAGATTGAGAAATTATCTGCAATTCGTTTATCTACCACTTAATTTGGATATATCAACAAAGTTGAAATGGTAAATTGGCCACCGTAACCATTACAAAAGCTGGCGATTTGAGAGTTAGCCCTTCGTCGGAGCGAATAGAGGAATCGGTCACACCTTCGCGACGTGGAAAGGAATGACAAGGAAACATCGAAACCAGTCGCTAGACATTTTAATTTACCTAATCATTCTAAGCAACATATGACAATCTGCGGTCTTTCTTTACACTTAGGTAGCACGGAAAGCCGTAAAACTCTTGAACAAAAGCTCATCTTTCAAACCGGCAGTCTAAATCCCACAGGGATCAACGAACGCTTTTCATTCCACTAATTTATTCGTGTTTTTCTCGTTGCCATGTTCCCACCAATAACGTAGCTCCATTTTCTGCCTTTTAAAGCACACACAACCCACAATTCCTCTATTCGCTCCGACGAAGGGCTAACGCTCGAAACGTCAGCTTTTTGTAATCGTTACGGTGGCCAATTTACCATTTCAACTTTGTTGATATATCCAAATTATTTCGTTACCCCCCACCGACGCAGCCCCAAACAGTTTCCTTGGAAACTATCAGCCTTTATCTACCACTTAGCTCTGCTGATTCTGGTCAATATCTTATATTACCTTAGAGTGTAATCTTCGGGAAAGCTGGTCGTAGGTTGTTTTATCTCGATTAAGAAATTCTCTGCAATAGATCTATTGCCACTTTGAGGTACCAACCACCAAAAGGCCACAGGTCCAACTCCTCTTCGAAGCACTCTGAAATCCTCTTCCATCGACCATAACTTTGTAATTGACTAAACATATCCAGCCATTACTTAAATTCAAGATTTTTCCTGCATTCCCTTGTGAACATTTTTTGACACAGTTTAGTATTTCGAAAGTGTTGATATGAACATATGTATAATGAAATGTTATTTGCTGTTTTGTCAGGAAACGTTAAATTTTGTATCAGAGAAAAAGGTCTACGTACGAGTGGTGGCCAGTATAAATGTACTCACCCGTGAAGCACACTGGGAGTTTCAGAGCCTTGATCCTCTCACAGGTAGCTGGTTATTCACCTGACAACAGGATCTACTGCTTGCCACTAATACTTAGTCCTTATTAACCGAGCGGGAGGTCTGTATGCGAGAATCTTGACCGAGGTCGCCAGTGCAGACCGAACGCAGTGGGGTCTGTACCAGTGACCGAGGTCAAGATTCTCCCATACAGACCGACCTAGCTCGGTTAATAAGATGTTTATTATATGGCTGTGTCTTATATGCCAATTTTTTATATTCTTTGTAACCGTTTTTTTTTTTTCTATGCCGGTCTACATGCCGGTCTAGATGGGAAAATCTAGACCGCTTTCAATATTGATTTCAGCCAATCAAATTCATGAATTCGGTAGTTCCCAGTCCTTGTGAGACACAGCCATATAATACTAGACATTACAATGATTTCTGCCAAAATGAAACTTTTATTTATGTTTCTTAAAAGGAAGAGACAGCAAACGGGACATTAAAATTTTGCAAGTACGCTTCTCGCGTTGGGTAAAATACGTTTACTTTTAAAGAAGAAAAATCACTCAGTATGGCGTTCGAATTTTCCTTGCGATTGGACAACAGGAGATTGGATATAGACTGGTGAAACTCGAATATATGGTCATTGCTTTTTTAAAATTATTTGGTTTAAAAACCCATCTTGCGGTATTTATGGATTTTTTACGCTGTACGATGTGGTTGTAACCTGTTTTTCAAACTCCGGGAATGAAACCCTTCAGTGTGCTCGCTTAACATCAGCGCCATTGGGTGACATACTCCAATGGTAATGTTTACGTCCAAAGTTTTTTTTCTCTTTTACAGGCGAGACTCCCGATGATCCTTTAACTGGCTTCCTTCCACCAAACAATGGTACAACAGGACAAGGATATGTGAGCTTTACAGTTCGCTTGAAGAAGAACGTGCGATCGCTAGCAAGGATTGATGCTAAGGCGAGCATCTATTTCGACAAGAACGAACCGATTGATACTCCTCCAATCTTTAACACGGTAAGGAATAAGATAAAGCTATGGAGGTTGTGGGATGTGAATACCGGATGGGAAAAGGGACGCCAGGAAAACTAACAGTGTCTTGATTTTCTGGTTCTAAGGCTGATGGGGGAGGGGGAAGGAGGGAGGAGCAGAGGGGAGGAGGGGAAGGGGAAGGTGACATCTCAGTAACTTCCCCAGTTACACCTCTACTGTTTTGGCCCTAGTGCAGGATGGACCGCACCCTGAGAAGCTAGAGGTGGCGGATATAAAAATACGGACGGACAGTCGGATCAATCGAAACACAATGTATAATTCTTTCATGTTTTTCTTAATTTTGTATGTGTCCAGATTGACAGTTCCATGCCCTCTTCCAATATCTCTGTGATAAATGAAGTCATGGAGGTTGGAAAATTGGCCCTGGAAATTGATACACAGGACGGGGAGTCTGGAGTGAAGTCTGTTGACGTGTTTTATCAAATCTCAGTTGGTAATGGTAAGTCCATTATTAATGGTAAATCTATCATAGTCGTTTGTATCGATTCGTGAGTGTCAGGTCTGCAACTAGAAATACACAAACCCTTTCAGGAATTTTAACCCACAAAAATGTCTTCTGTGTTTTTAGTAGCATTTGTAAGGAGATACTCGTGAACAAGAGAGGATGAAGTGATCACGGGATTTCCTCTTTTCCTGAAGAACTCCCACAGTAAAAGCTTCTGATATCAATTTTGTTCTTTCTTACAGTTCTTCCCCAGAACCAACTTCTACTGCCCTTAATGTCCGACGTCGTCGAGAATACAGTGTTCCTATCCCTCCCTCCTGGGAATACCTACTCACTTCTGGCTTTAGCTGTTGATCACGTGGGCAACAGACAACTGATGGAGTTGAATCGCGCGATCACAGTGGACTTCTCATTACCAACACGTATGTACCATTGAGTCAAACATTGCATATAAAATCTTTAGTTTTGAGCTAATAAAATCTTGCGAGCCTAATAGAGATACGTCAGATAAACATATTTGGTTACCAATACCAATAATACCAATAACTTTATTTCTATTGCGGTATATACAAAAGCTCTATATCGCTTTAAAATCTAATAAATATCTAACTAACAATCTTACCAAGACAAAAACAATTTAAAGCAAGCCTGAAAAGATAAGTTTGCAATCTAGATTTAAAGACGTCAACTGATCGACTTAATTTAATGTCCAAGGGAATATCATTCCATTGCTTTGGGGCAGCGACCGAGGAGGGCCTGGTTAGCACAGTTAATAATTAAATAGTTTCGTGTAACAGTTTTTACGCTTGTTTACCGCCTCGCTGTTTTTCGTCAATCGTACAATGCTTTTTTTCCAACATTTTTTCAAATTTTTGCTCAAAATTTTTGGCTACTTATGTATTAAATTCTAAACAACAATCAGCATGTCATCCTTTGACCTCTATCGCACTCCGCCTGTTGTATCAAGTTGAGCAAGTTTACTATTTACTTTAAATTGATTAGTAATCATGTTAAACTGATAATTCACGTGTATTGAATTACATTACATTCAATTTTATACCATTTTTTTAAAATACTTTTTCATTTTCACCGCAGCATCGTGTGAACGCCTAAACAACTGCTCCGGCCATGGAAACTGTTCTGTTTTGAATTTCTGTGTTTGTCAAATGGGATTTTATGGCGTCAACTGCTCACTTGGTAAGTATTATTAATAGCAGTAATCGTTGGAATGAGTTTGTTTAATATGAAATAAATGAAATCGTTGATACATTTATTCACTGGTTAGCGATTGTTTTTTGATGATGATAATCATAATGATTATAATCGTATTAATTAGGATGGCCCTTATAGACTTAACATCAATTAGTCCATGCAGTGAGTTTGATGGTGTTTTTAATTCATTTGCAGATTATCCTCTTCGCTTTGAAACCCCGATAATCAACTCCATGTACAGTGATACAAGCGAGGACGTGCGCTCTCATTTATATTTCTCTGCTTTTGTTCCGGATTTTGACACCAGCAGCCACAGTGGAAGTTTCAACCTGAAACTCGTACTCCATGAAATACCCGAAGGATTCGCTTTTAGTAAAGGAAACAGAAGTGGTCATAGTGTTGTGTTAGAGCCTGCAGAATTTGGCGACATTTGGATGACACCCAGGAAAGATTTCTCCGGACTTGTGAGGTTTAATCTTACGGCAATAGCTTCCACCCCCTTAAAAACAAAAGCAGTCTCGAGACAAATTGAAATAAACATTACAGCCATTGCAGATGTTCCATTTCTGAACGTCAATGTGCCGTGTCAACATTGGAATAGCAGCGATAAGGTTATCCCAGTCTTCGTAGAAGCCCATCTGAATGATCAAGATGGATCGGAAAATCTAACACTTGTTTTTTCGGGTTTACCGACGGGTTATCGACTGGTTCACAAGAATGGCACAAATTTGGTGAATGGAAGTAATAATACAATCACTCAAGATGCGCCCCGTTGGTTTATTTCAATAAACGAGACTTTAAAACCATTTGTTTTAAGAATAATTGCCATTTCAGAAGAAAGATCCAATGGAAACCAAGCAAACCAAACGGTTGACGTTAATGTTACATTCTGTGGTAAGTCTTATGAGATCAAGATTTTTAACAGTTGTCGGAAAACCACTATAAGATGGGCCTGTTCTAAATTACTTCCATACATGACTGCGGGTTAATGACTTTTCAGGTTTTCGGGGATTGGGCCTTGATTGAATTCCCCCTTTTGATTTACTGGATGAGGGACAGA